TAATAAGATTGAGAAAAAAAAATAATTTATTATAAATATATATATACGCAAAGACAAATAATATTACAGATAATCCCCTATGAATTTTATCTAAGAGTATGATATTTTCTTATCCCAGTGTGTTTTGCTTTACTTCCTTTCTTCTTCTTTTTTCTTTCTCTTCGTTTTATCAATATGGAACTCGCAAAGTATTTTTCTTTTTTTTTTCTTTTTTCTTTTTTTTTTATCAATAAAAATTCAGGGTAAAGATAACAGAAACGTTACCTGGCGCTTACGTTAGACGTATAATAATTTCGTTAAAAAATGTCTATACTTGTTTTTTTTACTTCAATCGGTGAAGCATTATTTCAAATGGCACAAAGTTAGCGACCTCGTAGCTTAAAAAAAGAAAAAAAAGAATAATATTTCTACTAGTTCGAACGAACGTCGGGTTCCATACCGTTAAGTTCGCGTAATGCGTTAAAAATAAACGTGGACTTTATTCGTAATGCAAGATGGATTCCACGAAAGAATTTCAAATTAAATTGCTTTCTCTATGTCAACATGTAATAATAATTGGATCTTACAAAAGTATAATGTGTCCAGAGAGAAGAAATCGGAGTTAAGATCTCACTTCAATTAAAAATGATTTATCGAATCAAAAATGATGTGCTTAAAATAACACAAATATTTCTTTTTTATTTTTTCAGAACGAAATGTTAATGGTATAACGTGGAAATGATAAATAGAACTCGATGATTTAACTGGACAAGTTCTCGAGTTAACAACAATCTTATCATTTTAAAGGTAAAGGCGAATAAATTGAAGTGAAGTAAAGAAGAAAAAAATAGAAATAAAAAAGAAAAAAAATCAGGGAAACACATAGTAGATGTGTAAATCATGTCGAGGCGTCCAAGCGTTTCCATTTACGATTATCCGGAGCATCTAAATCCTTTCAATGACGACACTACAAACCCTCCTACTTCGCATCCACGGTTGCAGCGTGAAAATAGCAAGAGCTCGGCCAAAGAGATAAAACATAAATTTTGGACCTTCGGGAGAAGCAGGAAAAAAAGATCGAACAGTTTTTCCATCAAGTCAACATGGTAGGTAAAATAGAAAATAAATATATGTGTATGCATCTATATATATATATATAGATTTTTTTCTTATCTCAAATAGCACGATACTTTGTTTAAAAATCTTAATTAAAGATTTTCATAGCATGACTCTCCGTGAAGTTAAGTGTGAAACTGAACCTTATCAATACCGGGTCACGTAAAATACATTTAACGATTTTTATTACCAAGAAACAAATTTGTATTCAACTTAGAACGTGTTTTCCTTTGCAAGCATATTAATAAGAACCTTGATTCTAGTTAAATTAATCCAATGAAATTGTTATAATTCCGATAATGCAGATATTAAACTCGATATACTCCGTGAGTATTTATATTGAATTATATTACTGAATAAATTCAAAGGAAAAATTTGAAATATTGTTATCAGTTTGTTGAACTTGAACCTAAATAATGGTGTCTTAAAGACACGTGAATTAAATAGCAATATCTGCATTTGGCCGTAACCCAAAAGATACAAATAACCGAACGTTGCGTAGCGAACTGTAAGCGTCACATTGAACTATGTCTCATTTCTCATTGTCGATTCTAACTTGGCAAAAAGAAATTAATCTGATTGTTTAACCTGTTGAGATCTGTACAAAAAAAAAAAAAACAAAAAAAAAGACTAAACGTGTTTTTGTTCATACAAGTTTACGTTGTACATAAGATTTATATCAAATGTTTCATTCAAATTAACCACGATAAATGTTATCTTTCATATAATTAATCTTACAAAAAAAAAATGAGAACAAAAAACTGACGTGTTCACTATTAAGATATTGTATAATTAATAATGACAAAAGAAAATACTTAGAAATTTAAAACACAACGCGTTGGCAAATATTTTATATTCCGTACTTGTATTATAAGTTTAGAAATGCAGTAAGAGATTGGTTATTATGCGTCAGTGTTGTCAAGTTTTTTTAAATAACTTGCTTACTTAACTCTTCCTATCATTTACATAGCGATCTTCTATTAAAAACAAAAATACGTTATCCACATAATTATTATAGAATATATCTTGAGATTTTATTCGAATGGTTTGAAAAAGGAGCCAGAATATAATTTGAAAATTGAAAATTTATTGCCGATTATTATGACAAACGATTAGAACGGTATAGAAAGGAAGCTTTATTACACGGAATGAGGATGATCGCAATCATTGCAATTTTAGTGTCCGTGAATTTGCTACGCTTTCGATGGATTATTTCTTAGAAACAATTCACTGATAAATGAACAAATTTATTGGTAAAATATAATCGATTTGTTTACCTTTCATCGACCATTCTTTTCGACACATTGGAATACTCGACGTTTGCATTCGCGTCAGTGAATAAAGTTAGATTATGTTATTATTCATGACGTCATTCTTCGTTCGTAATATATATGACGAAGCGATTACTCGGTTAATCTTTCAGTTTTCTTTTACAGTGTTCGTAAACATTGTAGAAAAGTTTTATCACAATATTTTATTCAAATATATTATTCGAACGTTTTATCACAAAAGATTTCGTTCAATATTTAAATTATTTCTAATATTAATATAAATTGTTAATAATTCATATTTGATTTAAAAAAAAAAAAAAAAAACATCCACTTGAGATTTCTTATTTTTCGCATTTCAATTTTCTATATATATCGATTATAACGAGCAATATTTCTAAAGTGGAATTCGACGGCCTTTCGCCGTAGATAAGACTTACTTTTTTTTCCTCGCGTTTATCAAACATAATTATCATCGGGTAAATATACAAAAAAAAAAAAAGAAAGAAAGAAAAAAAGAACGAACGATTAAAATCTCGTATGGAGGAAAAGAAATGACGAATTCTGAGCCAAAGTTCGAACTTATATCATGACTTTATTTTTAGATTACCACGCTTAACGGATCATCTATTCGAGCTTCAATATTTTTTATTACTTGTTGTTTGTTGCTTCATTCTAACTTTTCGATCGATATTTCTATAGATTGTTATTTTAAGATATAAGAGAATGTGTTTCTAATAACGTTTTATAATTTATTTATTCACAAAATCACAGGAACGGATTATTTGGTAAACGGAAGGAACCGGATCAAGCTGAGAAAAGATCGACGATCATAACAGGTACATTCGCGTACAGGTATATTTTATGTAGTTATATAACTTACACAATAACAATATTATAAATAATCAAAATAAAAGATTGTATCGTTATGTGTTGATGATCAAAATTACTAACTTTTAGTTTCGTCTGCGTATAAAAGAGAACCATTTGATAGGCCGATAGCACCGTCACGAATTTCTAAAGATCAACAAGAATTTGACGAAGCTTTAGGAACTCTCGTTAGAAGAAGAAAATACACAATGGACAATAGTGGTTCCAGATATAGTTCTAGTCTTACAGTCAACGGAGATCCTGCAAGGATCTACGATGGTAGTCCTCAGGATACGACAGCGTCCATTATGGGTGATCTTACTCCTAAAGCACCAGCTAGAAGGTTTTTTCAATGAATTATTTTCTATCTTTGTCAGTGTGTTATATTTATTATTATTATTTTTCATTTAATACGAAATAATCATTTGAAGTAGATTTGGACAAGTAAGTCCAAGACCAACAGATAAGATACCACCATTAAATTTCGAAGATAAAGAATCAAAAGAAAATGGGACGGTGACGTTGCGTGAAACATCATTCGAAAGAACCCCAGTACCACCGATGTAAGAAATTGATATATTATCGAGTAGTATAAACATATGGCTCATTCTAAGAAATCTTTCTTTACATATTTTTCTTTGTTCAGACGAAGGTCTGCTACCAGATCATCGCAGAGGTTAAACACGAGTAATTTGGATTCGGAAGAAGAAACTAGCAGGTCGGGTGACGTTACGTTGAGAGATGAAAACGAAAATGTTCCTGAAGACTATGTTTTTAAAAGATTTGGACAGGATTCTGTGAGAAGATCGAACATATCTATAAACAGTTGTGTATCCATTGGTAGCACAGCTAGTGGCTATGGACGGAAAAAACGTAGGGCACCACAGCCACCACGACGCGCAGAACAATTGGAAACTCCAGAGGTGAGTTCGTTAAATGAAAAAACGTCAAAATTTCATCGAATGCGTTGTGAACAAAATGAAAATATCGCGTGGTAATTTTTACTGGCTAAAAATAAACTTTCGACGCGTCATTGTCGTCACGTTACTTTTAACTTTGTTTATAATTTAATTTTAGCCATTGAATCAACGCGTTGGTATGGTTACTGTCAAATCTTTTTAATACGAGGGTCGAGAAATACTATGTTATAATTTTTTTATTCAAATATTTTCTATTACCCCTGTATACAGATAACACTTTACACAACGTCGATAATGTCACTCACGAATGTTATCTATCGGTAAACGATTTTAATGCCCATTACGATATGCAACACGCATTGCATAAATGCAACATGTTGCCAATCATAAGAGCCTTTAATATAATTAAAATTTACAGTAATATCGATGTGTAAATAATTAATCGAAATGATTTTACATTCTTTTATAGGAAAACGAAATCAAACAAATACCGGATACTTCGAATGTAGAATCGCAAATTACCGAATCGATCGATATCAGTAGAGTCACGGAGAATATTGACGAAATGACGAAAAGAAATCAAGAATTGATAGAAACTTCAAATGAGAATAAAGAAAGTAGTGTTCAATTAACTTCCAAAAACGAAACGATTACACAGAATGTTACTGGAAAGTCTGAAGAAATTGTTGAAGAACCTATTATGTTGGAAAACATAAAAAGCGATGACAAAAATGTAGAATCAGAAGAAAATCAGAGGTCACTCGTTGAAGAAAAAGAAGAAAAAGAAGAAAAAGAAGAAATCAAAGAGCCGAGTAATAAGGAAACTAGTCATGAAGAAAATCAAACAAATAAGAATGATAACGTTGTTATCGAATATTGTAGAAAGGAAGAGGATAAGGTAGAAATAATAAAAGATATAAATGAAATTAATTCGCAAACTGAATTAGAAGTATGTCTACGAAGAAAAAACTCAGCCGATAGATTATCTCGAGAAGAAAGTTTTTCCGTTCAAGAGGAGATCAAGAAAATAGAAAAACAAATTCAAGCTTTAGAATCGAAAAATTCATCTAAAGATTCGACTGACGATATAACAACGGATAATACTTCTAATACTAGATTATCCATTTTAGCAAATCGCAGACACTTTTTTCAAAACATGGTTGATACCGAAGAATATAAAAATGGTGTTAAAATAGAATTTAAAGAATTACCACGTGAACAAAAAGATATTCACGTTATCAAATTAACAGATTCTCCTGTACCCGTTGAAGCACCTAAAGATCCAGTCAAAGTTATCGAATTACACATTTCCGAACCGATCAGACAAAGGCCAGAAATATTGGATGATGTTAATCCTATACCCAAACCAAGAAGGCACGTTTCATTGAGTTACAATGATTTCGAAGGTTCCGTAATTCCGAGAGAAAGAAGCAGAAATTTCGAATCTTTCGATAAGAGAGGGAAATCTGTTTGAGCATGATTTTAGTTGTATAAAATGTGTATAAACAATTCATTGGTAATTAAATATGTAACTTTTGTGTACCTTTTACTCTCGATGAATGAAAGAACAAATGGATAAATTCGTAATGCAAAGAGAGCGATAAAAGTAATCGTATATATATATAATATATATGTGCCTTTAATTTGTGCTTTAAAATGTATATTGTGATAAATATCTACATTAATCTCACATATATAATTAGAATACCTATAATTATATATTTATGTATTATCTATTTAGAAGCCAGTGTTTAATTATGTTTTTTTTTTTGGATCAATAATATTGTGATCATACGATTATTATATAATTATAGCATTATTGGTTGCACCACGACATTTTACCTATACTTTTTGTTGATATTTCCATTATTTATTTATAAAAAATAAAATTTAAACAAATAACACGATACTATTCGATATTCGCTCTTTCATTATATATATTTTTAATTTTTTTTCTATCGTCCTCATTAATTTGTTTTCATCGAATACCATTGACCTACACTAATTGTAAAGAATACATAATTTAATTATAATTTTAATTATATAAATATAATATATACGAATTAAAAAATGTTTAATGTTTTTATTCAGGGAATGTCAAAAAACAAAATGTTTGTTTTTTCATTATATTAATATATATATATGTAATATATATATATATTTTATTTTATTCATTATATATATATTACCACGAGAGAGAAGAAAGACGGAAATAAGAGAATGTTAAAATTCACATAGTCGCTTGGTATATGTCCAAAACATTAATGTATAAGAATAAATTTAAATATTCAGTCTTTCACCGACATATTTGGTATGTGTTGACAAGCGACCATATGAATTTTGACTTTCTCCAATTTCGGTTTTTCATGGTAACATATACATACACATATATAGTATTTTATTTTCTTATGTTTATTGCAGAAGTTTCAAACGTTTTTCTTTGTATTTTATAAGTCTCGGAATATTATCTTTTACCGTAGATATTATGTCACTTTTATCTCTTAAAAGGTGTTTCTGTTCACGAACCTATTAAATTTCCAATAATTGATATTAAATGTTATGAGTAAGTTATTATTTCTATTTAAATAGTAATGCAAACGATTCTTACCTTTTGTTTAAAAGCTAGTAACAGTTCCGATAATGTAGTAGTTATACAAAGTTCTTTTGCTAACTGATCCGTTTCATCATCAGAGAATATATCCATCAATGCATCCAAACATTCTGCGTTGATCCACGCGGAAGATTGTTCTTTACATGTTAGTATAAAAAATGTACTTATGTTCTAAAAAAAAAAAAAGCAAAATTCTTATTTTTGACGCATGATTTGTTAATGTTATAATAATTATAAATTTCTACCTTCAATAAATCATATTTATGCTGATTGTCAGTTTGAGCTATAATCAAAGCTAAATGTCCTAACATCCTTATTATATTGACACCAATATTTCTATTTAAAAATAGCTCATCGTAATTAAACATTAACGAAATATCATCTACTGTTAAGTTAGAAAAATAATTTGTTTGTGCTTTAGCCAGTTTTTGAAGACAAGCTCTCATAACAGCAATTGCTGAATCTAATAATTCAAAATTACTCTCCAATTCACAACCTTCGTTTTCTCCATTTCCGAAAACAAATTTTCCAATTTGACACCATATACTGTATACAGAAAATGTACATTAAAAAATAGTCTTTAAAAAATCAACGATATAATATTAAAATATAATTTATGTACTTGTACAAATCCTCCATGTCATTTGCCGAACTAATATCTGAAATAAACAATAAATTATGTGCGCATAAATATGCTCTACATCTCAATACATCTATCTGTTTTAAAAGTGCTCTTCCTTCGACGCTTTCTGAAATACATTCACGAGTTTCTTTATCTATATTTGCAGTTTTGATCCAAACTTTTTGTATAACATTACAATTGGTAATAATTTCTATTATTTCTACCGGTAATGATGAAATAATATGAGACAAATCAGTTTCCTCTGGTTCATCCTCGTCCATGGGTTCTTTTTGATTCATTTCATCAAAATCATCTAAATCAGAAAGCAGTTCATTTTCCTCTTCGTCTGAACATAAATTAGCCAAAATTTCTAATGTTTGTTGTTGAGCTGTAAGTAACTTTTTGAATTCTTGTATTTTCTTTCGAGTTGCTTTTGATAAATTATCTTTTTCCGTTGATAATATTGTACCTAAGTCATGCGATAGACTATTATTATCTACAGTCAGTGTTTCTAATAAAATTTTAATAACTTGATTAAATACATCAATTTCGTTATTTTTAGTAAGACAATGCATATTCAACAGTATACCAATTATTAACGTTTTCAGTAATATCAGATCATAGAATGGCAAGTTATCGCTGACTTGTAAATTTAATATATTCAATAAGTCTTGCTTGTACTCTTTGAGTGTTTCAATCGCAATAGGATTATCTTCTGATAGAGTAAGTATACACTGTGCAACCACAGTGCTAATCTCTATTCCATATATGGTAACATACAAATATTGTAGTAATATTGATAGACATAGTTTATTTACATACTTAACAGCCACTTCATTGTTTTCGCATAAAATTAAAAGCAATGTAACAGCTTCAATAAATGTTTCTTTTTCATCGCATAGATTTTCTTTAATTGTAGAATCCAACTTTGGTTGCCATTCTCTGTAATCCTAATTGTATGTCATTAATATAAAAATCAATTATCAAAATATTAAAGTGATCATAAATATACTTACTCTTGTAAATAAAGTAATTAAAGGAGTCATGATGTCATCGTCAATTAATTTTGTAACAGCATTGTCTTTACCATTCTCAGCTACTTGTCTCAAAGCACTTGCAACAGCAGCTCTTATTGTCAAGCTATTATCAATAAGTAAAGGGCCAATCATTTTAACAATACCATCTGATGATACTCGTTCAGCTATGACTTTACTATAACACATAGATTCTAAAGTTCGTAAGCCAGATAACTTCTCCTCTATGGCCAAAGATTGTATCTATGATATAAAATTATATATAAAATAATAAATAGACTGCACATTGTCTTTTTAACCCTTTGAGCACTGCGTTGTCCAATGTTAAGTGTGTGTCATGGAATGTCCACTCTTTACAAAAAAGCACACCATGGGCTGAATATTTTTTACGAAAGAGCACAAGTTTAGCAAACTGAATTTTCATTGAAAAATAAAAATGCAATAGTTGGGTAAGATCCTACATATGCGTTCATAGTCTAAATTGAATGGTTGTGTGAGAGTGCATACATGCATTCATAGCACTCAAAGGGTTAAAGATTTACAATTTATTTATATATATATATATATATATATATATATATATAAAAAAATTGTTCATAAATAAACATACTTCATCGTACACCATTCGCAATACTTCCTCTTTGTCGTCACCTTTACAATCTTCTGATTCATTCAAATAATTATTCGATACAAGTCCTGTAGGATTTTCTCTGTGCTGTTTATTTTTCTTGCGTTTATCTTTACCCATTTTTTAAAAAAACAAATAAAATATTACACTTAAAATAGGATATTGGTTACATACGTTCTACGAGAGAGCACGTGTTACGAATGCCTCCTTAAGTTTAGTTTACAATACAAAACCTGAAAAGCTAGATGGTGCTGCGATACGTAAATCGTTTTTTTCATTGGTGGATTAATAATAAAAATAATTATTGAAAAACTTCAGTAACAACAAGTGAAAATTTTTGTTCAATTTATCGATTTCTGTTTAAATTTTATATTCAAAACTCTCCATCTGTGAAATAATGTAAATAATAGAGATTATTTTTTTATTACAATTTGTATTGCTATATATCGGTAATTTCAAATCATTCGAGTGAACTGAAATATAGTCTCATAAACATTGTAAAATGTATTTCTCTTTCTTCCGTTTTGTTATACAAGAAAATAATCATCAGTTTTAACCTAATTACAAAAAATTTGTGTTCGTTAAATGATTAGATCGTTATACATATATAATATATATATATATATATATATATATATATATATACACATACATATAGCATAGTTGTTTTTCTCATATACATATTTAAAAAGGTAAGAAATATAATTGAAAAGAACAAAAATTAAATCGAATGTTGTCATGCAGTTGGTTTGTTTTTATGTAGATGGGAAAGAAACGAAATAGTCAACCTCTACCGGTTACCCCAAGTCGTGTTAAAATAGAAATAAAAGATGAAATAGGTAATAATAAAATATTTTTTAATTATAAGTATTATTTATATATCAAATCTGTGATACGTTTTAGCAGATATCTAAGATGTCTTCGACATACCTGTAGAACTGTGTTCTCTTATGTTTTTGTATATGAAATATATTAATTCTATCTACAATAATAGGAGACAGTGATGTTCTTGTTGCAAGAGATAGATTAAAAGGAGCTTTACGAGAATTATTGCAACACACCGATTCAGACTCATCAGCAGATTCAAGCGAAGAAAATTCTTCTCATGAGTTTAGGCATCATATGAGAAAAATGTAACATTAATTGTTTACTTTAAAAGATACATAATCTTAAATACAATATAAACTCGTTTTGTAATAGAGACAACATGTACAGGACGAAGTCTATTCATTTTCAACAACCAAGAAAAATAAGGCGGCGTAGACAAATACAAATGGATACAGCATTTCATCATACGTATGTGATGAAACTATTTGATCGCAGTGTAGATCTAGCTCAGTTTCAAGAAGATACACCACTTTATCCTATTTGTAGAGCTTGGATGGCTAATCAACCAAGAAATCCAAATCTTATTCCAAAGTGAGTATACAATAAAAATATATAAACTTGTTATAATAAATATAGATTTTTTATAATATTTTATTCTTGTTTAGAATACGTAGTCCTAGTCCTGAAATAGTTAGTGAAATAAATAATCAAAATAGCAACATATTAGATGCAAGTGGAGAAATACGAGATGTTCATTTTTTACCACCTCCTCTTCCTTGTGAAGAGGCAATGCCAAGAAATCGTATACCATCTCCAATTATTCCTGAAAAAGAAGAGATTAAATTAGAATATGTAAGTAAATAAAGCAATAATTATAATGATAGTGATGTTAGGAAAATTTAATCATGTAGAAATAGTGTTACATATTTTAAAATGTATATCTATTACGTATATCAATAATATTTAAGTTTCTTAAATACTGTTTCATTAATATTCTTAGGATGGACAAACTCTCAATTCGCGAGATGTATTACTAAGAGAACACAGAATACATTGGAATGCTGTTCGTAAAAAGTGGCATCAGCAGGCGCATAAAAATGAACAACGTTATGCACAAGGCCAACAAATACTCAGTACTATATTTAAAAGGTACGTATTATTTTAATTCATTTAAATGAACACACCTTGTAATATTTTAATAATCAAATCTTTTTCCAGGGCACAATCAGAATTTGAATAGTAAAACAACTAGACCATGCATTAGTATCTATCAATTACATAAATATTCGTAATATTTGGAAGCAAACATATATCTGCAACATTAAATGAATCCTATTATTAAAATAATTATATTTCTCCTTTATATTATTTGTATAAATATATATTTTTATCACAACATATTTTGATAATTATGTTTGTAATTACGTCTTATAAGGGCTCCATCAAACCTTAAAAACACTGATTTTTTTAAACTCTATACCATGATACAGGTCCATTAGTCCTAATAGACCCCTACGATCCTGTAGTTTTACAAAAATCGGTTTTCTTAAGATCTAACGGAGCCCTTGTTAGTATAATGAGATGTCACAAATTTGATCTTCATACTTTTATATTGATTTTTTTTGTTTTAAATATATATATAATTCAAATGATTGCCACGCTAATTTATTATTAATTTAGTATTGTTACGCTAATTTAAATTAGATGATATTTTTTACATGTTAAAATCTAATTGAACATTATTTTCACATTTTTAGTATTAATTTGTTAAATTTTGATATTATCTTACCCATATTAACACTGGGTTGTATTTTAATAATTATAATCATATTCATAAAGAGATAAATCAATGAAAATCGTAATAATATTATATATTAAAGTTATACTAGGAGAAAGGTAAAAACAAGTGATTTTGAAGACTTGAGAATTACATGCTTTTTATTTTAAATAGTGACAGTTATTGTAACTTACACTATATACTTTCAAGTAATAGGACTGTACGATTGTTTCTAACTGCGATTGAATTGCGTATGAAACGTGCATATATATATATATATATATATTTTGTTTAAATTGAAGAGCATTTGTAATTGTCAAGACTTCAGTTTTATGGATTTTGTTACTAAATTTGTTATACTATTCACTTTCATTTCATATAAAATGTAGCTAAGGAATAAATAACATAATTTAAATTATTCATTTACTTATATAATAGAGTACATTGTTGTCCACTGGTTGACCTTCATTATTGTATACTTTAATAACAAATGTTCATTATTGTAAGTAACATTATTATTTTTAAAAGGAATTTATTTATGAATCATAGGAAATATTTCTTTCTATTCAACAGCCTTGTACTCGTGAGACAGAAAGAATTTTCATTTTGGAAGTATCAGGTAATTAATTTCTAAATCACCATTATATCGATTGTAAAAGTTCACTTATCCGTTAGGGATAATTCTAACACTTGTCGAAATGTTTCTTCTTCTAACAATCGTCGTTGTTCTTCTTCTATTTGTTGTTGTTCTGAAAGTTTTAATGCTAGATATAATTGTTCTGTTGTACTTTCTAATGAATCACTATCGTCTTCTTCTTTAGCTCTTGCTTCATCTATATTATTATGTCCTTCTGCACAGCTCGCAGTAGTTTCTTGATATAATACCAAACTAGCTTGAATAGCTCTATATTCAATTAAAAAAAAGGCATGTGATTAGATTTGAACAATAATTAATTACAGTACATTATTCTTACAAAAACAACCTACATATACATTTAAAATAAACTTACTGAAAACATAATTTTGAATAAATCAAATAATATAGAATTTGATTCGATTTCTGTACTAATACCTTTGAAGTTGTCTTTCTTCTTCTGTTGACATATTAGGTGTCGTTGGTCTAGATGGTTTTTGTGCTCTCAATGCTTCCCATATATCGACCTATATACAAAATAATCAGTTGTATATAATGATATATAACAAGAAGGAAATCACAGAGACAATTTCTTACCTCATCGCGTTCACTTCCAGCTTCTAATAAACTTTGCTGGATAGCAAATTGTAATAAATCGTCCTCTTCTTCAATACTGAATTGTGTTCTAACTTCAGCACCTATATAATTTTATAAATAATTATTTAAAATATGTAAAATTATATATATATACGTATGTATCCATATAAAATGTTAATTATCCGGAAACATCTAATTACCAAGTTTTATATAACCAGTAGGTGGTTCAAAACAAATATCATCTACCAAACATGTCATGCGATTTGTTTCTTGTAGATGACCTACATGCGGTACTTCTTGATCCAAACCAAATATATTTCCAAATGTTATTCTTGCATTAAGAATATGAAATAAAGGAATTTCTGTAATACGCAAAGCAATTAAAAAAAAAAATTTTAAGTCTATATTTTATTTCGTAAAAATAGATAATACACTCACCAATTTTAACAGGAAATCCAGATGGTAATTGCATTTGTATATAATCTTTCAATTTAGCAAAATGTGAACTAGATATTGCCATTAAATCTACAATAGGCATAATTTGTTCTTGCAAACTCAGTGGGTATTCTTCACTGAGCCAAAGAGTTGCCTGTAATTAAATTAATAAAATAAAATTAAAATAAATTTTAATACGCATTTTATGTAAAATATGACATTATTATTTTATTGTTAATTGTACCTTGAATTTCTGTATTTTTGTATTAACTTCTTTTGGTCTTCCAATATCCCTTCCATTTAAGTCAATGTCTGGATCAAAATATTCTTCGGCTGTTATATTAGAAGGATTACCAACATTGCTGTATTCTTCTTGCTAATTAAATAAAAAAAATATTATTACTGAATTTTATATACATAAATATATGTGCTATAAAAATAAAAAAGAAAAGTAAATAATTACACTGGTTGTAGCGTTACAATTTTCATGTTGCTGCTCGGCGATACCAAGAAAGGATTGAAGAGGTGTGCGTGGTGCTCGTGCTCTTGCCTTATCAGCTTCTGATAAGTGTTCCAATCGTGTTTTTGTTATTAATTCTACATTACTTGCACTAAAGACTTTACATTCATGTCCATTAATTACTTCACTTTTATCTGACCGCCAGCCCCATATACCAGCTTTATTGCTAGCAGTATATGTATATATATATAATTTGTTACATTATGTTCTAAATATAATTAATATTATAATGACGTATAACAATAAATATTTACCGTTCAAAACTAATTTTATCTGTATCTATATACGTAGTGACTATGGGATTTGTAAGACGTGCTAAAATGCCTTCTTCGGAAGGTTCCATTAATTGTATATTTTCATCACTAATAAGTTTCATATGTTCCACGTAAACCTTCCTTGTTTCATGATCTACCTCCATCATTGTTGCACCATCATCTGAAAATAATATAGCAATTACGTTTGTGAATCTAATTAAATTAATATGATGAAAACGAGGCCAACAGAAATATTTCTTTAATGTAATTTATATAATGTAATTTATATAATAGATCAGCAGTTCAATTTATACAAATATATGCTTATTATTAATTTATTTATATACTTGTATTTTTTCTTCATAAAATTTGGTAACTACTTTTAGTAGCAAAAACAATAATAATAAAGCGATAATAATCCCATTATGCTGTAATTTACTAAACTCATTATAACGTTTTCCAATGTGACTACAGTTACTTGGACAAAATAATAAACTAAATTACCAAAATTAAAAAGAAGCGCATCTATGCAAAATTAATAAGAATATATATTCCACAAATTTTCAGGGTTCATCAAATTGTTGTACACAACATGTAAATTGTAAACAAAACAACTGTCACCTGATTGTTGTCCCATCATGGTGAACACATAACTGCGATCACACCTAAGTACCATAGGTGCATTTGTTGCAGCTTGCATTGAATATAAATAATAAATAATAAACAAATAAACAAAAAAAAAAGAATACGTAAAGAATACAAACGGAAAAAAAATTTAAAAAGTAATTGAGTAATTCATAATATAATAGAAGTCATTATTGTTACTTTCTGTAAATTTATGTACTAAGTAATAAATATATTATAATATATAATAAACTTACTCTGTCCTTTAAAAACATAACTTCGATTTCCTCGTTGCCAATTTGTATGATCAAAACCCAATAGAGTAGTGTCAATTCTTACATTACTACCCTGTTTGTAAACTTTATATGTATCACTTGGGCACATTCGAGATGCAAGAGGAACTAATAAAACAAAGATAAAAGAAAACTCTTAGAACATATCAACAATTTGTCTTAAATTTAACTGCATACCTTGAATTTTGATTTTAAAATGCACGAATAAATTTGTCTAGATAATTACCCCAACTAGTAAACTCCCATTTCATTTCTACATAAAAATCGGGTGCCTGGAAATGATAATAATTCAAATAAATATAACAAAAATGACTATACAATCATATTAATACTTAGATGCTATAACATTTATTTGTACCTTTAAATCACGAAGCATATAACGTTACTTAATTGTCGAAAAATTAATTTTTTTGTTTAATAATATATAATAAATGTAAGAGGAAAAATGCATATATAAAAAGTATTAATAGATTTTTATATTTTATTAATATATTAAAACAATAATAAAAGTTTTATTCATTTTCATAAAAAGACTAACCTGTTTAAGTTTGTGAAGTAATTCGGGAATACCTGCAACACGATTACAATATCTTTGGTAATCCCTACGAGCAAGCACCATTTGTAATAATTCTGGGTTACCAGTTCCGACTGCTTCTTGAACCACTGAATCAAACATATAAAACATATACAGAGTGTCTTGTGACTGGTGGTACAACTGAGCAGGGGATGATTCTACATGAAAAACTAAATCGACAATGTAGAATACAATTTGTTCATATCAGGCATTGTTTCGGAGAAAAATAAATTTGAATATTTATTGAGAGAGAGAGTATGCATGCACTAAGAGTTTTTAACTTAGTTTTTTATTATATTTATAATTATATCCCCTGCTCGTGTTTGTACTACAAATTATAAGAAACTCGGTATATATTTAACATCAAATTGAATTGCTTTTATAAATTTAAAAAATTACAATTACTTACCGCTCCATCCTTGAGTATTTTCTGTGTTGACATTAGCTTCATGATGTAATAAAACTACAGCACAGTCAGTGTGACCTAAAGTAACTGCTAACATCAAGGGGGTTCTTCCACGAGTATCATGTTTTTCTATTTCATGCTGTAATACAAAAACAGGAGTATATATTACATATGTCAAAGGAAATATTTACTTTGTGAATTTTTAAAGAGATTAAAATAAAACTAATTTATTAGATTAATCAAATCTATATGTCTATATATTTTTAGTATATATAATATCATGAATAAAATGTTACACTGCATAAATAAGGTTTCTGAATAAGATTTCCATATAAGGCTTCAGAAGTCTTTTTGGGAAATATCTAAGAACTCTCCATTCAAATTTCTAACAGTTATTAAACATAATTCAAAAATATTGACTTATGAAATGTCAACAATGCATAACACTTCATGTTTCATTGAATAAAGCAATTAATTATCTAATATTTAAACATTTACATTACATCTGATTGTCTTTTTAATGTGTAATATAATAATGCTATATATAAATTATATAAAATTATCAAAA